CACCGTCCCAGGGACCTATCAGGAGGTGAGGAGGAGAATCCGGCGTGCTCGATCCGGATCCGACGAGGCTGCGATCTTTGGCGCGCCGGAGCTGCGCGCCAGGCGGGGAGGCTAGGCGCGCCAGCTCCAGAAGGGGGCGCAAGGCCCAGGGGAGGCGAGAGGGCCTCTGAGCACAAGCAGAGTGCCCTCCCCACCCAGGCGCCCCACCTCCCTTCCAAAGAGAATTAAATCCGGTTTTGTTTTGTTTTTTTAGCAAAGATCTTGCAGGATCTCCCTGGCATTGAACGCATCAGACAGAAGGGAGGAAGAGTGGGCTGGATCCTGGCCCTTGCACTTCCAGAGGAGGCCAGAGTGGAAGACAAATAAATTTTTTTTGGGGGGGGGGAATTGAAATATTGCAATGGATTTAAAAAATATTTTTTAAAAAAATATTTGCAGCTTAAAACTTGGTAAGCCACCCTTCCGCTGGCAGAAAGGAGGGGTATGAACATGATCGCAAGGCGCGGATCATTCAACATCAGTTTGAGAAGAAATAGCTGCTGTTGCGAGGCCGTGTTAAGCCCATCAGGCAGAAAAATAAAGAAAGGGCTTTATATAAAATAAAATAAATAAATTACCGGTATATCGTCCTTCTCCAAACAAACGAAAACTTCTAGGAGGTCATCGCTGTGGGACGTGGTTTATTTTCCTTTGGGAAAAAAAGGATTCTGGAGGCGTAGGAGGTTATGTAACATTTGGGTTTATTTGCAAATATAGTATAATAGGGTGTTTAAAACAATTTCAGATCGTAAAAAACTTAAAAACTTGACAGAGAAACATGTGAATGTGGAAACTCTTACATGGAAACCTGTGCCAGCCACGATCCTCAAACCCTCAAAGACTCTGATGAATAAGTAGGTTGTGATAATGGTGCCAAAAGGGTGCCCGATGCAAGATCCTTTATTTTAACAAAAATAGATAATTGTTTTTACCAAAAAATTGAAATTACTTTAAAATTTAAATGTTTGATTTAAAAGGTTCAACTTAAGTTCCAAATGTAAATAAAAAATCAGTGCAAAAATCATTTCTTAATTCCCCCCCCCCAAAATATTAAAACATTTTAATTAAAATTTTTAACTTTTAATTGAATTGAAGCTTTTTGCTATCCTAAATCATTTTCATTTCCCCTTCACGGGAGGGACTTATGAGCCCGCTGGCCTTTGGTGACGGAGGAAGGCAGTGGCTTTTCAGGAAAGCGGGCAAGGAGAGCCGCCGGAACGAAGGGTGTGGCTGGACGCAAGACAGCGTGGCCTCGCCTTCGCTCAGCCCGGTCGCCTTTTCGTCCATCCAGAGCTGGAAGTCCGAGAGCCGGCAGTCGCAAATCAAAGACACGTCCCTCAGATCCAGGGAGTGCAGTCCTTCCAGGGCCGCGAACGGGGCAGGAGAGATGGTCAGCAGGGGGTTACCCCGGACGCTCAAGATGCGTAAGGATCTCAGAGCGTGGAAGGCCTGATCCGGAAGCTCGGACAGCAGATTGGAGGAGAGATCGAGAACCTGTAAAGACACCAGGGTCTGGAATAGCGCTCTGGGCAACGTCCGCAAGGCGTTGGAGCTGAGATTCAAGACGGCTAGCTTCTGGGCGTCCCGGAAGACGTCCACACATTTCTCTTCTCCCCAAATATCCCCCAGCGCGTTGTGGGAAAGGTCCAACTCCCGGAGCTGCCTCGGGCTCTTCCCGACACAGTAGCACCTGGCCAGCGTGTTGCCGGAAAGGTTCAGAAAACGCAGGTTCGGGATCTCCCCAAGTTGACCCCAGAGTTGACCCAGGTCTGCCAGGCGGTTGCCAGAGAAGTCGAGGTGCGTCACGTTCCTGCTCAGGCGCTCAACGCCCCAGGCGTCTTGGATCCGGTTCTGACCCAAGAGCAGGTGCCGAAGGGACGGGAGATCCCCGGATGGGACCCGGGAGAGAGCGTTGTCTCGGAGGTCCAGCGTCTGCAAGGAGCCCAGCCCGGCGAGGGCCCCGCGCTGGACGATTCCAATGTGGTTGGACCGGAGGATGAGGCGTTGCAGGGAAGAGGATTTGAGGCTCTCCAGGGCCTCCCGGTAGATCTCCCCGAGGAGGTTGTGGGAGAGATCGAGGACACGCAGCTTGTTCAACCCGACAAAGGCCCCGGGTCGGATCCTGCTAATCTCATGGGCTCTCAGGAGCAGAAGGTTGAGGTCAGGGAGCCCCGAGAAGGCCGAAGGGACCAGCTCGTTCAGGAAGCTGTGGGACAGATCGAGGGAGACCACGCCGGCGTGACGCAGCCCGGAGAAAGTGCTGGCCGAGAGGTCCTTGAGGTTGCGGAAACCGAACCCGCTCCCGACGGCTCCGGAGTGTCGGACCTTGAGGTGCCGGATGCGGGTGCCGTTCAGTTTCGCGAAGAACCGCTCGGCCTCGCCGACATTCCAGGGGTTGCCGGAGACATCCAGGGTCCCCAGCGTGAGGTTCCGGAAAGGGTGGCCGCAGGCCGGCTGGTCGCGCAGAGGGTTGGAGGACAGGTCGAGGAGCGCCAAGCGGCGTCCCCCAAGGGGTCCGAGGTCATCTCCGCAGATCGCCTGGATCCGGTTGAGCCTCAACTGGAGGATATTGAGCGCCCCGAGCCCTCGGAAGGACGGATCCGGCCTCAGCCTACGGATCCGATTTCCAGAAAGATCGAGCCTCTTGAGAGACACCAGGTCCCGGAAATAGCCGTTTTCCAGCACTTCGTCCCCGAACCCGTTGACGTCCAGAAGAAGCACCTCGAGTTTGGAGAGGCCGCGGAAGGCGCCGGGATGGAGGGTCAGGTTCCCGTTGCCCCCGAGGTCCAGGAAGGTGATGTTAGGCACGTTTTGGAAGGCCCTCTCTCCGAGAAGAAGGGACCCGGTCCGTTGCTTCCCGAGAGACAGGAAGGCCAAGGACTCCAGGCGTGGGAAGGAGGAGCCCAAGAGGACGGAGAAGGAGTTGAAGTTCAGGAGCAGGACCTGAACGGAGGGATCGGTCTCAGGCACGGCCCTGTGTCCTTGCCCTTGGCAGTCGGCCACCTTCAGGGCGTTGACCGTGGTCAGGTAACAGCGAGGCGGGGCCCCGACAGGGTCCCCCAGGGCTGGCATGGAAACGACAGCCAGGGCTGGCATGGAAATGACTGCCACATAAAAGGCGACTGGGGAGAAACGGAGAGAAAGAGATATATTAGTTCCCCTGGCCAGCTCGGAGTTTGTTCAGTCTCGCATGCTGCCCTTTGTGGGTGTGGCGGGGAGGGGGCTTTTCCTTGGCTGGGGTGACTGTCAGTCACGGACAGCACTCACCAATAGTCCCTTCCCTTGCGTCTGAATTCAACCAGAGTCCCGCCCCTCAGCTTGGTGTCTTTCCTCCCCTCTTTTTTTTGGTCTGTTGTTCAAAGCAGTCACGTTTGTGAGTTTGCTGTCTGGTCTGCTTGATTGTAAGTAATGAAACCCGGATTCAAAGGAAGCCCTGCTTCTTTGCTCTGTGTCTCTCCCCCCCCACCCCCTTTCTAGAATCTATTGAGGTCTCTCTTTTTTTAATAAAGCAGTAAGGTTTGTCAGTTTGCTGTTGATCCGTAAGTAAACAAGACATTCCCCCCCTCTTTTTTTTCTCCTAATAATGTCTCAAGAGAGTGCTATTGTGACTGGAAGGCCCAGTTCATGAGAAAAAGGGGTGGACTACTATGAGGAACTGGAAGCTATTCTGCTCTGTGGATCCCTGGACTTCTTCTGCACAGCTAGAAGAATTTAACCAGAAATTCAAAACTCTGTGACAGTTCTCTCCCCTTGGTTTAGCAATACAGGACCTAGAATCACAATGCCCAAATGCCTAAAGCTACCTTGTTGCGACCGCTAAAATTGTGGAGCTAGAGGTTGGGAGTTCAAATCCCCCCCGCCTCCTTGACTGGATTATCCCAAAGATGCCTTCTGGCCCTGCAGGCTGATCCCAATCCAAATAAACAAATATTGATGTATTTATTTGCATTTTAATTTCACCTGCAGAGCCACTACTCCGTGTGGCCAACAGCAAAGGTCAAAACAGTATCGTAACCATAGGAAAATTCAAAAACGGCATCGCGCGAGAAGCGTGTGTGTGTGTGTGTGTGTGTGTGTGTGTGTGTGTGTGTGTGTGTGTGTGTGTGTGTGTGTGTGTGTGTGTGTGTGTGTGTGTGTGTCTCTCTCTCTCTCTCTCTCTCTCTCTCTCTCTCTCTCTCTCTC